GAGGCAGTGAAGGACCGTAAGGCCTGGCGCGACGGGGTTCATGGGGTCACGAAGAGCTGGGCACAACGACCGAACAACTGAACAACACTCGGGTGAAGTGGGTGTGCTCCAGGCCCCCTCCATGAAATCTGGTCACTGTTTGGGACTGAGGAAGCATCCCAAAGTGTTTGGGACCTGTATCCCCCGGAGATACAGATGGCTCCCACTCTCCAAGGGCTCTGTTCTGGGGATTTCCATTGTGTTTTCATTTTACTATTATGGCTACTTTCTTCTCTGGACTGTTATATCTGTAAGCTGCCCAGCGTCTTTTGGAGTGGGCAATTAAAACCCAATAAATGATGACGACGATGATGGTGAAGGCCTGGCCTGCAACCTTGTAGAGGGAGAAAAGGCCACTTTGATAAATTAAAAGTAAATGCTGGCCACAAAGGAATATCTGGTGTGCCAATCAGCTGGCCAGCAGAGTGGTGGTGAGGCCTGGAGGTGCCAGGCAGTGTGTCTTTCAGGGCCACGGCAACAAATGTATTAACTTTTTAAAAAACATTGGCAGGTGACCCAAGGCTGCGTGGCAGGGCCCGTGTGTTGTGTAGGCCCAATGTAGACTGAAAAGGATCCCCCTCCCTTTTTGGTGTGGCTGAACAGAACAGCTTCAGACGTGTCCTCTGAATCTGTGCAAATACAATCTGAATTATCCTGTTCTGCCTAGAGTTAGTTCTGTACTTGGACCCAATCCAGTTTGTGATCCTAATAGTACTGTAGCACAACCCAGCTGACAGGAATATCTCAACTGCAATTTTCTGTTTCTCTGTGAAGTCTGTGGTAAGTATGTATTTCCCCAGCACTGTCCAAAATCAAATATCACACCCATATATAGTGTCCACTGCCATTTATAAGTATATAGAACTTTTTTTCGTAAAACAAACAAAATCAGTATACCTTGAAGCAGGCTTATTGGAAACCCGATCACAGAAAAACAATGGGTCTTTTTTTCCTGCTACCTTTTGATTTTGGACCAGTGAAAAGTAGTTCACTATTTGGAGCAACTGTTTTTAATTAAAGAATGCACATATACAAAATAATAGCTGGTCTACAAACGGAAAGTAATTTAAACTCTGTTTAATAAATACATTTGTATGCATACATCAAATGCAGTTGCATATATTTTACATATATTATATACACTAATGCAGTTCATATTCCTTCTGATAAAATTAATTTTGTTAGCAAGAAAAGCGGAGATGAATTCTATTATAGGAGCATTGCTAAAAAAACAAAACACTGAACTTCCCAACCCTGTTTTCTCTCACAGTGAGGCACTCAGCAGCCCCACGCAGGGAAACAAGTAAACCTTTCCGTAGCCTCGAGCCCGGGATGTTGTGCCTCGCTTTAAGATTACAAGCTGATGTCTTTTGCTCCTGCAGTCGCTGTGCATCTTTGGCTGGTGGGGAAATGCGCCCCAAAGAGCCTCTGCGGGGCTGGCAGCCAGGCTAACCTGGGCCATTTCGCCAGCTTCCGAGCGGCTGGGAGAGGCCCAGGGTCTCCCTCTCAGATAAAGGCCACCCTCCGAGCGGGGCCCTCTTGCTGGCTGCCTTCCAGGACCCCTTCAGAGCTGGAGAGGGAGGGGGAAGGAATGCACTGAAGCCACAGAAGTTAGGAAGGTGACTGGCCGTGAAGCAGAGGACCTGGGAAAGGAGAGTAGGAAGTAAGCGTGTGGCTGAAAGACTCAATAGTGCCATGGTGCTTGTGCGTGTGTGTGTGAGAGAGAGAAACACGGACACTGTTCTTGCCAGCTTTTGTGCCTGAGCCTGCTTGCTTCTGACCTATAGACCTTCAACTGTGCCCCCCCCAAAACCAAAGTGGCTCTCGCTCTGGAAAAAGAATCCCACTGCTGTGCCAGACCACAAAATAATATTTGCCTCTTTATCAAGTCCTGGAGCCAACTCTGGAGTAACAATCAGGTTTGGTTCTCGGCAGGTCTGCAGAGTTTTCTTAGTCCAAACAAATTGCATGACTTAAATCAAAAGACTTATCCAAAAATGGCTGGATGAACTGCTTATTACAAGGAAAGCTTTCCCCAAATGCGCACTTCAAGAGGTTTTGTGAAGTGTCAAGTCCCTTCCCCCAATTGCTTATCCAAAGTGAATCCAAAGCACCTACATAAAATTCTCTCTTATGTCCAATTTAAACTAATCAATATATTTAAACTTTTCAAATAGTAACATACAAAAGATGAAATACAGAGTTTAAAATGTTACACTGAAGTGCATTAAAAAAATAGACCTAAAGAACATACAATAGGAAACTGTATCAAGCTATTCAACATATGTGGCAAATATTGTT